ATGTCCCATCCTGCTCTTCAGGTTCTCTTAATTCGTTTCTTAAGCTTTTATCTTGAGTACATAAAGGTTACTAAATTTGAATAATGGAATATCATTTCTGTTTGCTTTTGTCATATGCTGTACTAAAGTTGGAACCCTTTTAATTTGAAATGTACTTTCATGTTGAATTAATTATGCATTATAAATGGGGCTCGTTTTTGAGTAACCAAGTGTCTTTTTAAACACAATTCCATCACGATCCAGTTTCTTTCATTTTTTTTTAGAAGTGTATCGCAAGCTACCTTTCCTATTTTGCCTGAGCTGTTTCCAATTACTTTCTTTGTTCTTTTTTTTTTTTTTTTGGGAAAGGCCCCGGGGGGGGGGGGGGTTGGGTTTGACCGAATGCTTGAAATAACACCTTGAAACGAATTATATGAATGATAAGTTCAAAACGGTGGCTGATGTGATCTTTTGTTGATTACCCAGTGCATTTGGATAAAAGCTTCTATAATGAGGAATGAAAATATATTATGCATTACATTCTGGATTGAAATCAAAGGTTCTTTTCTTCATCCAATTGGTCAAAATAAAATGATGAATTTTTTAAGAATTATGCAATTATCATAGATTAGTATGTGATCTTCTGATTTCTATTATGCATACTTTTATAGATAGAAGGCATTTGATTCGTCAAGGTCAAATTAATCAATAATGATTGTTTAGAAGCAAATGGGATGCATCTTTTCATGGAATGCAAATCAAACCGGGATGGGAAAAAAATGAGAAACCATTTGGAAGAAATCAGATAGCATTTAGTTCTGAATGTTCACAAGAAATAAGATACATGGAAATTCGCAGCAAACTAATATAATGGGTTGAAAAGCTCATTTATGGACACAGTGCGACGTAGATTCATGTTTCTAAGGCACCGTAACTTTGCTTATCGTTTAGGATAAGTAAATGGTGTCAAATTCAAGGCTAAGACCCGGTAACGTAGAGATTTTGGATTTTAATTCCTCAACAACCTTTCCGTTTCTTAAATTTCACTCCTTCCTTACTAAAAAAAAAAATTACAAGAAAATAGTGTCAAACCCATGAACAAATAAATTTTGCTGTGAAGATTTAGCATTAAGAATTTCTAAGCTTTGGCAAAGATGGTGATTTGAAATGGACTAGGACGAAGGATATACATGGCAGCTTTAGATTTTGAGGATGGATTAATCATATTTGTCCGCCTAATCTTCGTGGTCTGCATAAAGCCATGGATTCTGCTAAGGATGTGAATTGGGATTGGTATAAACCAAATCCCATCGTTGTCCTTCTCAATAGATTCATCAAATGTCATTCATGCAAAAAATAAGCCATGATGATATCCTAGAAATACACCCATTTATGTATAGGGATAATTACATCTACACCCCTCATGGTTTAGCCAAACTACCATTGTACCCCTCGAACTTTTGAAACCAACAATCACCCCTTTTGAATTAACGGAGGCTAAATGGTGTTAAACTTATTCTTGTGTGGACATAACTACCCCCAAAACTTTATACATTATTAAATACAAAAAAGAAAAATAACAATCATAAATATAACAAAAGGCAAAATAAAAGAATAAATAGAAAAGAAAGAAAGAAAAAACATATTAAAACTGAAAATTCAATAACCATAATAAAGTCACACAAAGGAGAACAACCAATTAATGATTTAACTGAAAAAATTTACTTAAATGACATAAAAGAGCATTTCATCAAATTACTAGACGAATTACTTCATCTATATAAATATTAGACGAACTAATACTGACTTTTATTGGACACACGAAAAGAAGAAGAATAAAAGGAAAAGCAAAAGAAGTCATTTCAGATACCAATACTGAACATACCTTTCTAAAATTTATATTTTGGTGAAGCCTTCTCGATTTCCTCCGATATTAATTCATCGATAAGCACATAATGATGGATGACCACAAAGGAGGAGTTTAGTTTGATTATTTTACCAAGAAAGGAGGAAGAGAATATTACGAAAGGGGAACAAATAAAAGGATTCGGCTGGAAACTTTTTTTTTTCTTTTTTCTCCTTACTTTGGTAATTGCGTGATTTGTTTTTTCTTATGGTAAAATGTCAAAAAACTCCCTATGGCTTGTCAAATGTTCAATTTAACTCTCTCTAATTTGAAAACATATACTATAGCTGCTTGTGGTTTTAACTAAATTAAAAATTGGATGAAAAGCATATAATCTAACGGTTTTATATGAACTGTCAATATTGTTCCTGTATAAATGAATTCCCTATGATTTGCTGAATATTCAATTTAATTTCTTATATTTTGAAAAACTATACTATAATTCCCTGTGGATTGAAAATTGAATAGAAAGCATTTCACGTATAGTAGGGGCAATATTGATATTTTACGTACAACCATTAGGTTGGATGCTTTTTGTCCAATCTTTAGTTTCGTCGAAACCATGGGAAGCTATAGTGTAGATCTTCAAATTAGAGGGATTTAAATTGAACATTTAGCAAATCATAGGGATTTTTTTTGGTATTTTACCCTTTTTCTTTTTATGGTGAACACTTGAATTTTGTTTTTCCCCCCTTTTTCTAGGAGATTAAATTATTTTCCCCTCAAATTTCATTATTTCTTTGTTTTTGTGTTAAGGTTTTGGTGAAACTTTCATGTTGGCCCCCACATCTCAAAGTTGGAACAATGGGGAGTTTGAACTGTCAGTCCCCGCAAAGAGTGTTCAGTTTTCTGATGTTGAGGTAGAGGTTCACTACAATTTTTTGCTTTTATGTGCACTCTTTTTCTCTTTGCGCATTTTCTTTTTCAGGTTTCTTTCATAATGGTATATATTTACAAAGTTGAGTTTGAGTTTTAATAATTTCTCAATTGAAGAAGCATACTGAGAATTCAACTAGAGCATTTATGCAAACATGTTGACAATTTAATTAGTCCCAGTGTCAAATCAAATACATATTTCAATAAGGATGAAAGGAATTTAGTGGTTAGGGGAGGAATTTTAAATTCTTCCTTACTGTTAGATTCATGATTCGAATCCTTCACAAATACATATCACTTTTCCGTAGTAGTTTACCATTGCAACTCATATCAATCTATTCTTCGATCTGCAATTTCACATGGTAACTTATCACATCAAGAAGCCTTCATCCATTAAAACTATCTTTTAATGGTTTTAATGTCAATCCTAGGTTGTTCATGTGTTTAAATCTAGGGGTAACCGTGCACGTTGTGCTGGGGTGCTTATTCTTTTCAGCTGCCCTTGAATTTTTTTAATCATAATTCTTTTAAACAATACAATAAAACTGAGAAAGAAAAAGTGTAAAAAAATGTAGCTTAAAGACCCATGTTTAAGGATATTAGCCAAGAGAAAGGGCAAAAAATGTATATTGAAGTAATTTTGCTATAACTTGACGTACATTTGCCAAAAAAATATTTTTGGAGAAAATAAAATTAAATGGATCCTGTCAAATCATACATAACACTCTAAATGATTTTTAGGGAGCTAAAGGAAGATGTCTTGGTCTATTTCTTGAATTAACATATGTATGAACTTTCATCAAATATCGCAAAATAATTTATTTATCAAAATTAGCATGAATAAATCATGTAACAAAGTTAGTTCTAACGTGTCGTAACACAAAAGTTCCAACTTTTCTAGATTTGAAAATCCGCATTAAGTTTAAGATTGTAAGAATATCATAAAGTCATGGCTGGTAAAATGGCAAAACAAATGTTCATTCTTCATAATAAAAAATGGAGAATTAATATCAGGACATATTTCTAACACGACTTAATTAGCAGTCATAGACTTTTGAAGAGGAAAATTACTATTAATCTTGACTTCAGAGTTAAAAAAACACTAGCACTCTAGCAAAACAAAACAATGCAGCAAGAAGCATAAAAATAATGATTACAAAAGCTAATTAATCTTTTCTAGGCCTATCAACGGTCCGAGTCCGGGTACGGGTAGGGATTTAATTCCGTTGCCCGGACCCGGATCAGTTTTGTCAAACAACAAAAATGGGTCGGATACGGAATATAGTATTCCAACCCGTATTAGACCCGGATCCGGATATAAATGGATTAATAATTTAAAAAATATATTTATCAATATAATTTGATTAGGGTGATGTATTTGAGTAAAGTCAATTTGATTTCTTTTCTTATTTATTTTTTTTGTATTAGTTAGAAATTAGTTTACAAATATTTTTTTTCTCATTTTTATTATAAATTGTAAGTTTTGATAAATTTTTTCGAGTAGACCCGACCCAGATCCGAGACTCGTCGGATCCGGATCCGGAAAATGAGAAAATCCAGTACTATCCGCATTAAGTTTAAGATTGTAAGAATATCATAAAGTCATGGCTGGTAAAATGGCAAATTAAATGTTCAATCTGCATAATAAAAAATGGAGAATTAATATCAGGATATATTTATAACACGACTTTAATTAGCAGCCATAGACTTTTGAAGAGGAAAACTACTATTAGTCTTGACATGAGAGTTAAAAAACACTAGCAGTCTAGCAGAACAAAACAATGCAGCAAGAAGTATGTAAGCAGCTTATAAATAATGATTACAAAAGCTAATTAATCATTCCTTCGTTGATTATAAAAAAGGTGAATGATTGCTTTCTTATATAGTGCTATTATAAACACATATTATAATCTCATGAAGTACGAACGGAAGGACCTAAGAAAATGAACTTCAGCAATAATGGTGTATATCTAGCCACTTTTTAGCTGTACCAACTTGTTAGGTTTACTAAATGCAATCATCCCATGTATATATAAATGTATATATAGATGCAAAAAAAAAAAAAAATCCAAATTTCAACATCAACATCTTTAAAAAAAAAAAAACTATTAAATCTATTGAGGAATTCACAGACACTTAACTCCCGTAACAAAAAACATAGTAAATACACCAATATCAGAATCTTTTCCACTTCAAATCATCACAATAAAATGAGATAGGAAAAGGAGCAATTATACATTTAAAGAATAGATTTAATAGTTTCTTCTGCATAACACCTTCGAGTGCGCTCTTCAAGCTGTGACGAGGCTACAATGTACCTTTCCACACTTGACTCGCCTCTTTGAAGAAGAAGCTGTTGCAAATACCACAGCTTATGCTTTTCCATTTTTGGTAATTTACTTTTAGCATGATGATAAGGCCCAATAGCAACAATTTCTGGTTCGTATGCCTGAGGGTTGTGCCTCCGTAGCCCGTCATGGACTCTGAATATACATTTCTCCTTTGATGTTCCTGATATCTGAGAAAGCTTTCGATCGAGACCAGTAGAAATAAATTTTAGCATTTCTCCGGGCATCCTCTTTGGAGAATAAAATGCTGCACGGAAAGATTAACAAAATCAGTCTAATTAAGTTGATTGGCAACTGCTTGAACCAGGTTTATACTGATTTCCGGGTGCTGATTCTGACTTTTAAAAGTTTTTGTCGTTTGAAGCTAGTCATCATGGAAAGTTAGGTAAGGGCTGAAAACAAATCAATGTCCCCAGCCCGTATTGCTGGGAGGGATGCATAATCTTGGCTATTCTATTGTCTTGTTTAGGCATTTGTCTTCCAATCTTACTCAATTGATCTAGTTAGGATCTATAAATTCTTAAACATTTTAATTTCTAGAATTTTGAGATATGAGTTCATAGCTGTTCTTTTCCACTAAACTTTAGATGGCTAGCAATTTTTCCTTTGAAGAGGGAAAATAGTGAGCGACTGAGCGCAATAAAGAGGAGAACAGCCAATGTTTAAGCCTCTATTTCTTTAAAAAAAAGTAGACATGTCTCAGCCCTTCATTCATTAGCATATGCTTTGCTTCGCGAAGTGACAAACATGAGAAAGCCTTCACATATACAACTAAGAACTACTTAAATTTTACATATGTACTTAATTTTGGTACCAGCAAGCATGACAGATTCACTTATTGTACTGCTTCTTTTTTTTTTTTTTTTTTTCTTTCAGTCTTTATGCCTTACTTAGCATTCTAGCCAATGTGGATGCAGTGGCTAATTAGATAAGATTTCGGGAACCATAAGCAACAAGCAATTCATGTTTATAACTATTTGCCCAATAAAGTGTTCTGCCGGGTTTTCTTTGTTTGAAAATCAACCGAGCCTTTTCTCTGTTCTCTTCTTTAAATCACAGGAGTAACAATTAGATCCTGTAGAACTATATGTTTTCAGTAAACTTATTTTGTTAGCATTTCAATCAACTGGTATCTAACTGCTATTATATATGATAGTATGCCAAGGATTTTTTGCCAGATGAATGCTTCATTTTTTTAATTCTTTCTTTGCAATTTGCTTAAAATCTTGTGTACTTAATTTTCGTGCTTCATTGAGTTCTCATCATCAGCCTTCGCATGCATTTAGTAGTACTCTCCCTAAGATAGGACTAGTGCTAGGTAACACTCAAAGATACATGTGTAGACAGATCCATGTTCATAAAAATTGTCAGGTTGACTAAAATGACTCAATGACCCCGACGGGGCATTGCTATTTTAATATTCATAAGTACAATGACTAACAAATTACAAACTAGCTCCCTTTAATTTCATAACGATTGCAGCCAGACGTGAAATGAAAGCCCACGGGGCATGAAAATATTTCTGCATGAGGTATTCCCTATGGATGCGGTAGCGGTAGTACTTCTCAATTTCCACAAAAATTTCGTCGTAACAGAAAGGTGGTTCAATAGAAACATCGCTGCTTAACTTGTTAAACATTACAGAGACTGCTTTATCATTGCCTAACCCATGCCTGATGATGTCACGGTTGCGAAGCTTTTCAACGTCTGACGGGGAATCTATGAGAAGATCCATGAAGCTTATGTAATCAGTTACATACCTCCGTGTCTCAAATGGCTTAGACATATACTGTTCGTATGCAATCAAGTTTCTGAAGATGGATTCTGTATGATCATCCACAAATAAAGGAGGGATTTTAACTACACCATTTTTGAAAGTGATATGGAGCAAGGATTCACTGTTTATTGCCCTCTTGAACTTGGTTCCACAATGTACTAGCTCAATAACTGGTTTCTGCAATGAGGTTGGAGTCTCTTTAGGTTTGAGACACGTAAGTGTGTTGGAAAATGAGGCAGTGAAATTTTTGTGCATGAGGTCAAGAAGATGAACAGCCTCATAACCTGCAGGGATTGTAGAATGAGAACTTTGACCTGGATAAGAACCAGGCATGAGCGAAGACAGACGGCGAATAGCTAGGTCATTAAGGTTCTCTTCTTCGCCCCGCAACTTGGTCATATCAAACAGTTTTTGCAGGACAACAAAGGGCAACTGATTCTCAAATAATATTAGGTCTCTCTTAGTGGCTGATATTAGCCAAGACATCTGAAAAATGGGATCATTCTCGCTGTATAATTTAGGCTGATAAAGTTTCCTCAAGAACTCAATGACAAAGCAGCCATCAAGGCATAGCATTTCAACAAAATCACCATCTGAAAGATTGATTTCGTCTGCGTAAGAACTTTTAGCTTCTTCTTGAAGTTCAGCCATAGCTTCGACGTATTTCTTAGCACTTGACTCTTTTCTTCTAAGAAGAAGCATGTTCAAGTACCTTACCTTATGCTCCTCCATCTTTTTCAGTTTAGGCTTACCGCGGTGATAAGGTCCGACGGAGACGACTTGTGGTCTATGTTTTCAGACTCGGACCGGGTATCGACTCGGTCAGGGTCAGGGGTCAGGGGTCAATGGGTTCGACCGGGTTCGACCGGGGGTTAAATCAGATGACGTCATAAATAAAAATTATTTAAAAATTAAAATATTATATTTAAAATATCTAAGATCATGTTAATATTAACAAAGGTATATTCATATATGCTTAACGTTTCAAATGTATTTAACAATAAAATACAAAGAAATTAGAATAATCAAGGAGCAATTTATATTATTTAATGAATATTAACAAGTTTAGAATTAAAATTATGGACTTGATTAAAAAATAACACCAAACTTTAGGACAATATTTATAAAGTATGAAATATTTGAGGTATATTAATAGTTTTTAACAACTTAAGGATCAAAACATAATATTGAAAATGTTTTGATCCTATATCAGATGAAAGTGCTTTGAAGTTTGACCCCACGCCACACCTCTCATTTCTTCCTCTACTCCTGACGGTGTCATTTCCTCTTCCTGCAACTCCCTTCTTCATCTTCCACGCCATTCTGCAACTCCTTTCTTCTTCTTCATCTTTTTTTTTTAATTTCATTTTCATTCTTATTTTATTAGTTATTTGTTCTCAAACCCATGAAATATCATGCTTTTATCTGATTTCTGCAAACTGTTCTCTTCTCCACGCTCTTTTTTGCATTTTTGGGTCTTTTTTTTTCTTTTGAATACAAGATCTAAGATTATATCTTATTTTAAAAAAGGGGTAAAACATTGATTTTTCATGCTTGAATTGAACTCAAAGAGTGAAAATGGATTTGCGGAGGAGGGGGAGCTCACAAGGATTTGGGGTTAAGAGGTCAGGAAGGGTAAAAAAGAATTTAAAAATGGAGAATAAGAAAAACCCGGTTCGTACGGGTTCTTCAGGTTTCCGGTCAAACCTGGTCAAAATCGGGGTTTGACCGAGTCTTGACCAATCCGAGTTTTTAAGATAGCTCGGACCGGACACTTGGCCGGTTCTCGATTCAACCGGTCGGACCGGCCGGTCCGGTCCGAGTTTGAAAACACAGCTTGTGGTTCATATGCCATTTCATTTTCACATCGTAGTTTACTATGGACTTTGAAGATCGATTGCCTTCTCCACGCATCCGATAGGTCAGAATATGTTGATTTTTTCACAGCCGCAATGTTTGACTGTGGCATAAGTTTTTCATCCCACATCGCACAAAGCCAAGAAGAAGTCGGCTACTCGAGGCCTATAAAAGGAAGGGTCCTCTGAAGATTTTAATTAGCACCACTCAAGAGAGTTATATGGGCTATTAGTTTCTTGAGTCATCTAACCCATTCAGTTAAATATTTTAGGCTCTCTTGTTTTGAGTTTAGGAATATTTTCTAAACTCTTTTGTAAGTGCCTATTGGCCTAGGAACCACTTTCCTACGGGTTTTGTATTTCTTCTTCATAGTAGAAATATTGCTCCTCCCTCGCCCGTGGACGTAGGTCAATTTGACCGAACCACGTAAATCTTCTGTGTCTTTTATTTGCTTTGTTATCCGTCTTTATATGGTCGGTTTTACCGCCTAATTATTATATGGCTGGTATCTACCGCCTATCTATTATATGGTCGGTTATACCGCCTAATTTGTGCTAACTTGAGTTTGTCTATTTCCTGGCCCGGTCCTAACAAACTGGTATCAGAGCTGGTTATTATATTTTGCAAGATAGGTTCATTTGGTGGGGCCCGTTCATCTGGTGGGGCCTGTCCATCCTGTGGGGCCTACTCATCCTGTGGGGTCCGTTTACCTGTGGGGCCCGCTTATCTCGTGGGGTCCGCTCACCTTGTGGGGCCCGCTCACGAGACTTGCATATTTGTTTTGTCAGTTTTTTTTTTTAGACAAACTACAAATTACAGATTTTGTGGCAACAATGACGATAACAAAGACGGTTGTCGAGAAATTCGACAGGAATGTCAACTTCGGCATGTGGCAGCTCAAGATGGAAGCCATTCTTATTCAAGACGGAGTTGATCTAGCGATTCATGGAATCGAGAACAAGCCAGAAGATGTAAAGGATGCGGATTTCGCCAATATGGATAAGAAGGCCAGATCCAGCATAATTTTAAATCTCTCCGATGAGGTGTTGCGTGAGGTAGCAACGGAGACTTCGGCCAAGGCTATGTGGGATAAATTGAAAGCCTTGTATATGAAGAAAACAGTCGAGAATCGACTATATCTAAAGCAGAGTTTATATATGTTTCGGATGTCTGAAGGTACATCTATACTCTCCCATCTTGATAAATTTGATTCCATTATTATGAATTTGGAGAATATAGATTCGAAAATTGATGATGAAGATCAAGCCCTATTACTTTTGTGTTCCCTTCCCCAATCCTTTAAGCATTTCCGTGATACTATGATATATGGAAAGGAAACAATTTCGTATCGGGAAATTAAATCTGCATTAAAATCTAAAGAGCAGATAGATAGGGATATTACTGGGGAAACTAGTGGGAGTCAAGCCGATGGCTTGTTTGTTCGGGGTAGATTTGAGAAGAGAAACATAGAAAATAGAAGTAGATCCAAATCCAGACATAAAAATGTGGTGTGCAACTATTGTAAAAAGAAGGGCCATATTATCTCTGATTGCTTTAAATTATAAAGAAAAGCAAAAGGGGAAATTTGTTGAAAGAAATACTGAATCCACTGAAGCTAGTATAGCAGCTGATGAGAATGATGGAACTATTTTCTGTGCAATAGAAAATAATTTTAGGTCTAACAATGAGTGGATTTTAGATTCGGGTTGTTCGTATCATATGTGTCCCAATAGGGACTGATTTTCAACATATGAATCAACTGAAGGTGGAGTTGTCTTAATGGGTAACAACGCCGTTTGTAAAGTTGTTGGCAAAGGCACAATCCGGATTAAAATGTACGATGGTATTGTGAGGACGCTCACAAATGTTAGACATGTTCCAGATTTGAAGAAAAATCTCATCTCTTTGGGCACTCTTGAGTCTATCGGGTGCAGGTATTCAGGTGGAGATGGAGTTCTCAAAATCACTCGAGGAGCTCTTGTTGTTATGAAGGCACACAGATCTGGTACTTTGTATATTTTGCAGGGATCTACTGTGACAGGTGCTGCTGCTATTTCAACATCATCTTTGTCAGATACAGACATCACCAAATTATGGCATATGCGTTTGGGGCACATGAGTGAAAAAGGCTTGGGCATACTAAGTAAAAGAGGACTTCTTTGTGGACAAAGTATCGGGCCATTGGAATTCTGTGAACATTGTATTTTTGGGAAGCAGAAAAGAGTCAGCTTCAGTTCACCAGCAATTCACAAGACAAAAGGTACTCTTGATTACATTCATTCAGATCTATGGGGTCCTTCTCGTGCTCTTTCTAAAGGTGGTGCCAGGTACATGTTAACTTTCATTGATGATTATTCAAGGAAAGTTTGGGTCTATTTTCTTAAGCATAAAAATGATGTTTTCCTAACTTTCAAGCAATGGAAAGTTTTGATTGAGAAACAAGCAGGAAAACATGTTAAGCGGTTGAGAACAGATAATGGCATGGAATTTTGTGGAGGTGAATTTAATGAATTTTGTAAAAATGAAGGAATTGTTCGGCATCACACAGTCAGAATGACGCCTCAACAAAATGGTGTGACTGAACGTATGAACAGAACACTTTTGGAGAGAGCAAGATGTATGATCCCCAATGCAGGGTTGACAAATGACTTTTGGGCAGAGGCGATCAATATGGCTTGTTTTATTGTCAACCGTTCTCCTTCTGCATCTCTTGATTTCAAAACTCCTGAGGAAGTTTGGTCAGGTACTCCTGCTGATTACTCCAATTTAAAAGTTTTTGGGTGTCCAGCATACATGCACGTGAATGATGGAAAATTGGAGCCTATGGCTAAAAAGTGCATTTTTCTTGGGTATGCTTCTGGGGTGAAAGGATACAGATTATGGTGTCCTGATCCCAAATCTCCAAAATTTGTAATCAGTAGAGATGTTACTTTTGATGAATTGACTATGTTATCTTCCAAGAAGGAGTCTTCTAGTCCTTGTACTACTGATAGTACACAGAAGCAGGTGGAGCTTGATATTGGCAGTTCTGGTTCTTCTCAATCCAAATCTTCTATTCATCAAATGCCAGTAGATACACCTGAATCTACTATTGAAGAAAGTTCAGAAGAAGAGGAGTATTCCATAGCCAGAGATAGACAAAGGAGAGACATTCGACCACCACAAAGATATGCAAATTTAGTTGCATATGCTTTGTCTGTTGCAGAAGAAACTGATGCAGTTGGTGAGCCTTCCACCTATTCAGAAGCAGTTTCTTGTGATGATTCTGTAAAGTGGTTGATTGCGATGAATGAAGAAATCGAATCTCTTCATCAAAATGAAACTTGGGTTCTTGTAAAGCCGCCGTCAGCTAAGAAAATTGTTGGTTGCAAGTGGGTCTTCAAGAAAAAGGAAGGTATTTCAGGGGTTGAAGATGCAAGATATAAAGCACGATTGGTTGCAAAGGGCTATAGTCAGGTACAAGGTGTTGATTTTAATGATATATTCTCACCTGTTGTTAAACATAGCTCTATTCGTGTTTTGCTTGCTTTAGTTGCCATGTATAATTTGGAGTTAGAACAACTCGACGTTAAGACAGCTTTCTTACATGGCGAACTTGAAGAACAAATTTATATGAGACAACCCCAGGGCTTTGAAATTGAAGGTAAAGAAGACCATGTTTGCTTATTAAAGAAATCCTTATATGGATTGAAGCAATCTCCAAGACAATGGTATAAGAGGTTTGATTCCTTTATGTTGGGTCATGGTTATTTGAGGAGCATGTATGATAGTTGTGTTTGCTTCCGGAAGATAAATGATGGTTCTTTCATTTATTTGCTGCTTTATGTTGATGACATGCTCATTGCTGCCAAGAATTTGTCAGAAATTCACACCTT